TGTTATCCGGTGATTCTCCAAGTTTTTTGATCTCATGCCCTTTATACGCTTAAAAAAAAATTATTGAGGATCCAAAAAAACTTTCACTTACTTGGTTTATAGGAAAATAATGATCACTGCCATTTTGTCAAAGATTAAGACTGAGAAATTTTTAAAGATGTATTAATTCATTTTAAAATAACAATAATACAACCATTACTTTGAATATAAATATTTTAATAAAAAAATAACTATTTTCCAAAATGATAAAAAAAATTTAGTAAGAAGAGTGACATTGTTTTAAAATTTTGCAAATGCTTTTAATGTCTAGTTTATTAGTAGACAGCTGGATTCTCAGATCTGTTTATAGGTTCAGTCTGTTGGGAATAACGTATCATTTAGCCTCTGGAAAACTCCACTCTACACTCAAGAGAGTCAAGAGTAAAGGCAATTACTGCCTTCTTATGAAAATCATTTTGATTTCATGTAGTCTCCAAAAAAATCATGTGGATCCCTAAAAATCCTCAACTACATTTGAGAACTACTGCTCTGCCTCCTCTGTGCCTGTTAGTTAAAAAACATAAACTGTATGTATACATGTCTTCTATTAATTTTGAATTTACAATTAGAAAGCCTTAAGCAACCAGTTCTTGGTTTATACTATCTGGATGTTGTACTTAAGGATACATAGTAAAATATTTACAACAAAAACTACTAAGTTACATCAGTTGACAAGAAAAACATAATATCCTACTAGAAAAAAGGACAATACATGACCAGATGGCAAAAAGACGCCAAGTTTTACGTAGGCATTGCGTTTAAAGTGGACCTAATTTTTAACCTGAAGAAAATGCTTTTTAGAAATACATATGGACCCAAGTTACTTTTATAGTGATACTTAATGTACATGAGCTGAAAGCTGTACTCTTTTCATAAAGATTTTTATTACCATCACAGTTACATCTTATGAATAACCTGTCTTTTTATTTTCTGTGCTTTTTCTATTCTTTCTTACTCATTTCCATGATGTCAGCTCTCTCATCTGTATGCTGACGACTCCCAAAGCTTTACATCCAACCCTGACCCCTCCCTGAGCCTTACTTCTAGTTGTGTATCCATCCTTAGCTAGAAGTCCTAAAGTTACCTCAGTTGTAGCTTATCTAAAACCATGTTCTCTCTCCATACCACTTCAGAAGCTACTTCTTAATTCTTTCTCTTAGTTAATCAGTATTTATCAGGTTCCCCAGGCCAGAAACCTTAAAAGGAAGCTTTGGCAAATTCTTCACCACTTAAATACATTGATTTTTCATGCTTTGTTGCCATTTCCTCTACCTTGAATTTTCCTCTTATCCTCTTCTTGGCTTGGAAAGTC